GAAGTACGCCATGGCTGAGCCCCTGCAGCCACCAAGAATAAGTCAGCATTAGTTGCTTTCCTTGAAGTTGGCCCAGGCTGCTTGGTCTCCTGAACATGGACAGAACATCACAGTGACGTGAGCTTGAAGCAGAGGAGTTTCTTCAACTCATGACAGATCAGCAGCAGAGAAAGGAACAGGAGGGGACCAGGGACAGGATTCCCCTCTCTGTGTCCTGGCTCACACACCTTGTGTGCTCTGCATTGTCTCTCAGGCTGAGTAGAAAACAGGCCTGGTTCCCTTTGCACCATAGAAACTGGGTCTGCACCCTCGTCTGCCTTCATCCACATGTCCTGGCTCTTCTGACTTTTGTTTTTCTTCCTTGGTGTTTAGAGTCTGCATGTCACCATATAATCCAACTGGCCCAGAACTCATGATCACCTTTCCCAGTGGTAACAGACAGAGAGAAACCATACCTCAGTGCTTCGCCGAAAGGAGTTTAGCAGATCTGAAGGTGCCATGGAACACAGGCCCCACAACGGACCCCTGGTTGGGCTCTGACCCCACTGATAAGCTTATTACTAGGCCCCAAGTTCACCACGGGCATTAAATGCACAGGCTCTCCTTGCTCTGGATGTATGTATGTGAACCAAGTCCATGCCTGGTGCATGGAGGTCAGAGAAGGCATTAGATTCCATGGAATTGGAATTATTGATGGCTGTGAACCAACACGTGGATGCTGGGAAGCAAACCCGGGTCCTCCAAAAAAGCAGCCAGTGTTCTTAACCACTGAGCCATCTCTCCAGCGCTTACTGAGTTACTGTATTGTGAAAGAGTGATGGTATTTGTCAGATCCTTTCTGTGCATTACTGAGATGAGATGACTGTGTGGCCCCTCTTCAGTCAATCTGAAGTCAATTCTTTTGAATCTCCTTGAATTTGTGGAATTAATCCTACTTGATCGTGGAGCACAATCCTTTATAGCACACTGTTGGATTTTGTTTACATCTATGCTCATGTAGGAGGACGGGTCAAGTATTCTGCCTGTGTAGCATTTGGTGGCTTTGCAGAATAAGAAGCATTTCTTCCTATTCAGCTTTTTTGATACGATTGGTACATGTGCTTCTTTAAGTTCTTGGTAGAACTCATCAGCACCGCCATCTGGTCTGGGTTTTTTTTTTTTTTTTTTTTTTTTTCTTTCTGTGAGATCTCTGATTCCTGTGTGACATTCCTTTGTAAATGTTAAGATTTTTGCAGTTAGTCATGGGGATTCTTGTTTAGACACTTTCCTACTTCATCTGGTCTAGGTTACCCAAAATATACGTGTGTGCGTGTGTGTGTGTGTGTGTGTGTGTGTGTGTGTGTGTGTGTGTGTTCCTCTTTATTCCTGCAAGGTCAGTAGTAATAACTGTTAGAAATAAGAAAGAGGCAAAAGTTGGTTTGGAAAAGAAGCTGACACAAAATTAATTCCCAAAGCCAGCCGGTGGTGGTGGCACACGCCTTTAGCACCTGCAATCGAAAGGCAGACGCAGGGGGACCTCTGTGAGTTCGAGGCCACCCTGGTCTACAGAACAAGCAGGACAGCCATGGCAACACAGAGAAACCCTGTCTCAAAATTAAAAAAAAAAAAAAGCTCCCAGAACCCCAGGAAAGAGAGCAGCAGCAGCAGCAGCAGGGTGTGGCCTGGTTTCTTCCTGTGATGGGTCTGACTGGCACCTTAAAGGGCGGGCTGAGAGCTGTCAAGGTGGCTCCATCTCCATGTCTGGCTCTCGTGACTCGCGCCTGCTCTCTTCCTGCTTTGAGGCTCCCATTTCAGCACAGGCCTGACAATGTGTGTCTGTACAGCCATACACCTCCGAGAGCTGCTCTTGCTGTACCCCAGCCATTTGTCTGTGCTGTGTTCTCATTCTCATCCAGCTTAACGTATTTTCTAGTTTCCCTTTGTGGTGGTTTGAAAGAGAATGGCCCCCACCGGCTCATGTATTTGAGTGTGATGGACCAAAACTTAAAATTAATAAATGTTTAAAAACTTGGGCCCTAAATCTATACAGAGAAAGGGAACTCCTAATGGTAAAGGAAAATTTAACTCCTTAAATCTGGAGTGCCATGGCTGGCGCCTGAGCCCCCTCTCAGAGAAGGGGAGGTGACTGTCCACCACTTATGTCAAACATTCCTATGTCTGCTAACTGCTGGTCATAAAGGTCCCCTGCCGGTTGTAAAGATCCCTCAGCCCAGGGGATAACTGACAGACCCTGTGACCCTGTGACCCTGCAACCCTGTGCCTTGTCTTATCTTAATCAAGTGTATCTTGCTTAAAAGATACAGTTATTGCTTTACTCTGTATTTTGTATGACCTTAAGTAGCCATGGAAACTCTGGAATTTGTGACCTTCAACCTTATGGTCTTCCCCTTTAAAAGCTCCCTTTATGGCATCTCATTCCCCCACCATGGAGCAAGACCCAAGCTGGCCAGCTTGAACAATATGGATAAACCTTTGCATTTGCATTGGAACTGTCTGGCTCCTTGGGTTGGTCTGGGGCTCTGCAAACCTAGCACAACAAGTGCTTGGTTCCAGTCGGTGGAACTGGGAAGGACTGGCCTTGTTGGAGGAGGTGTGTCACCGTGGGATTGCCTTTGAGGTCTCAAAAACCTGTGCCATTCTTGTTCGCTTTCTCTCTCTCTCTCTCTCTCTCTCTCTCTCTCTCTCTCTCTCTCTCTCTCTCTGTCTTGTGTCTATGGATCAGATGTAAGCCCTCAGCTACTGCTCCGGCACCATGCCTGCCTGCTGCTGGCGTGTCCCCTGCATGGATGGTCATGGACTCCAACCCCCTGAAACCATGAGCTCCCAGAAAACTGTTTTTTCTATTGGTTGCTTTGGTCTCTTCACAGCAATAGAAAACTAAGACGGGAGTTGGTGTGAGGGAGTGGGGTTTTGCTGTGACAGGCCTGGCCATGTTATTTTTGGAAGAATAAGGAAGACCTTAGGAGTTTGGACTAGGACAGCAATGGGCCACCCTGGAAGGAGCCTGGGAGACAGACGTGCTGGGAGCAATGTGGACAATGGAGGCCCAGCTCAGGAGGTTTCAGAGGGGAGCAATGTTAGCAGCTGGGCTAACGATCTTATGATATTTTGGCAAAGGATGTGGCTGCTTTTTAGCCTGTGACTTAAGAACATGCCCGGAGGTGGGAGAGCTGGCCCTGAGGCCAAAAAGGCAGGAGAGCTGTCCCTGTCCCCAACCTGCTCAGCACAACAGAGCCAACCCCATTGGCGGAGTGTGGGTGAGCCAGCCCTGATGTTGTGAGTGGGGGAGAGCTGTCCCCATTTCTCATCTGTCTGTGGCAGCATAAGGGAAGGCACCCATCGATGCCTGAGACAGGTGGAGAGCTGGCCCTGGGGTCATAAGAGCGGGAGAACTAACTGTCCCTGCCGCTCATCAGCTGCCCCTACACCTTGCCCGGGGAACACAGCAGAGCTGGCCATGAATGTGTAGGTGTGGAAGAACTGACCCTGAGGACATGAAGGAAGGAGAACTGGCCCCACCCCTTGGTCATGACTGCAAGAGGTGAACTAGCCGGGTGATGCTCACCGTGGTGATGAAGACGGGAGAATTGATGGGCTGACCAACCCTGCAACTACCCAGGCCCGGAACCAGGGATGTGTGTTGGTTCACCCCAACATCCACCCCATCTGAGATCTTCTGAGCACATGAAGGAACCAGACCTGCAGACCCAAAGCTGCAGGGTAACATCCAAAACACAGGGTAACACGGTATAACAAGAGGAGCCCCAGTGAGGGCCCAGCATCGATGTAGCAGAAACCAAAACCTTGCATTAGGATTCAGGCATTATGCTGGCCAGCCTCCTATTACCTGGCAGGATGCACTCGGGCAGTACCCTGGCCAGCCCAGGGTCCTATGGCTGCTCCTCCACTGCTGTGCCAAATCTTTACATGTTTATGGCTGAAATAAAACACCAGCAGGCTACTCCCTTCTGTGCATCACAGAAGAATAAGGAAATAGCCTCAGGCTAGAGACATGGCTCAGAAGTCAAGAGCAACTGCTGCTCTTTCAGAAGACCGGAGCTCAATTTCTAGCACCCACATAAAGGCTTACAGTTGCCCATAACTCCCGCCCCAGAGGATCTGGTGCCCTCCTCTGGATGCTGAGAGAAACACACACATACAATGAATAGGAATAGACATATGTGTAGACAAAACATTCATACCCATAAAATAAATAAATCTTAAGAAAACAGCCTAATGACTCATCCACAGACGACAGGTTAAATGAACTATGGTACCTCCACACAATGAAAAACCATACTGCAAAGCAAAGGCAATGCTTTGTGTACTAACAGGGAAAGGCAGTGGGGTGTTGCCATTTAAATGGGTACCTATGGGGCATATTGTGAAGTGATCACCTCTAGCACCTCTGATGGCCTCCAGTGAGAGACCAAGGTAGGCAGCTCTGGGCAGGAGTCAAATATGAGTTTTACTCACAGGGTTTTAGAACTATTAGATGATAAACCATGTAAGACATTGTATGTTTAAATATTAATTTTTAAGAAGGTAAAATGCTTTACTTGGGCCATTGAAGTTGATGTCCTACCCGGCCAAGCTAGGAAAATTGTCCTCGGTATTCACAATGTGGACTGGGGAAAATCAAGTCTGAGGCATAGGTACACCATCCTGGACCCCACCCAATAGCACTGCTTCTGGGCCTGGATTACCTCAATATCTGAAGCATCTACTAAAGTACTCATAACCATTCTTATTAAAAATGAGGCACACGCAGCCCTTGGCACTGCAAACATTTCCATCCCCAGGACTGCCAGCCTCCCACAAACACCTTGGCAGAACAGATCCCTCAGTGCCCAGGGAATTCCCGACCAAGTGGGAAGGGCCCACACGGGCCTTGGGCCTTCTGAATCGGACCAGACTCCCTTGGGTTTCCCGATTCCCACTTCCTCTAATGGGACACCGTGACACCGCTCAAACACACCCCTGTGCTGAGTGATCACTACCTGACTGAGTTTTCATCACACAGATCGCCTTGGCCTTGGCCAGCTCTAGAACGGTGATCCATTGCTGCCGGTCCACCTCTGAGCCTGCCTTGAGGTGGTAGGTCCTTGCCCCGTTGCACAGCAAGATTCCACAAGAGTCCTCTGTGTCGATGTGTGCGGAGGCCAGGTTGATGGTTCCACGGCAGGTGTGGGCCATTTCACCCTGGTTTCTGTGGAATTCAAGAGAAGGCATAATAAGGTGAGACTCCCAAACCCACAGCTCCAGACTGAAGAAACGCTCAGTGTAAATCTTCATCTCAGGCCCTGAGAGCTGGGATATGCCCAGGGGTCAGCAGTGGGAGAGAATGCCTTATTGGAACCAGCCTGTTATGGGTTGGTCAAGGAGGACATTCAGGCCATGTCTTCCTACCACGCGGAGTGGTAGAAGGCTGTGATGTGCCATGCCCACCATGGTCCGAACCCTCGAGGACACCAGGAAATGGAGAAGAATTCCAACAGGCAGAGCAGGTCTGCTGCTTCACGCCAGGTCCTTCCCACTAAATCTTGGAAGCAGAGTAAGTTACCGCCACTAGAGCAGAGATTGGAGGCCCGGAGCTCAAAGGGGAGGACCCAGGGGTATCTTCTGCTTTGAAGTAACCTGGGAAAGGTATTGTCCTCTTCCACCATGAAAGCCACAGAACAAAGATGCTGACACTGTTGCTCAAGGCAATGACAAGGCTAACATGATGCCACCTCGTGTCAAAGGAACAACCCCCCATGCTAGTGACAAGACCGGGGCACTGACAGAACCTGAGGTACAGTAGTTGTGACTGAAGCATATGTTATTTCCTCCTGGGCCCTGTGTCTAAAACCTGCGACCCAACTGTCATGAGTGGATTTACCTATTCTTGGTTGTTTGCCAACTTGACTACATCTGGAATTAATTAAAACCCAAGTGGTGGGTACACCTGTGAGGCATTTTTCTTAACTAAATTAAGTATGGGGAAAGACCCACTTAACCCAGATCTTTTGTGGTAAAAAAAGATACACCTCTAACCTGGGCCCCACGTTCTGGTGGCAGCCTCTGTAAAGGACATGGAAGAAGGAAGCGCTTGTTCTTTGCCTGTTTAAGGGGAAAGGTTGATTTAGGCTCACAATGTAATCAGGCGGGCTCTGGACGTCTCAGAAGCGCCACCGCTCCAGCTCTGCTGCCCATGGCACACACAGATTCTATCAGGAGCCGGGGCTGCAGCCTATGCCAGCAGTTTTCCTTGGCAGATGTCCTATGGGGCTTTCTTCATGGACACCACACGGAGTACCTGCCCTCTGCTGCACTTCATGACCCCCTTAATCCTCCATGCCTTCATAAACAGCAATCACGTGGACTATGCCAACAAGCTCTCCCACTGGCTCAGGTCACTGATGCCGGGGACACTTTCTCAGGCAGCTGCTTCTGAGAAGCAGGGAACCCCTTCAGCTTAGGCTGCCTTTATTTAAATGACTTTAAACCCACCCCAGGCACCTTCCCTATTGCCCCAGTGCAGCACAGGAGGCTTCTCCTGATTGGGATCTTTAACAGAGAGAGCGGCTGGTATCTGCTCCAGCACAAATGCTCTTCTGTCCTGAAGTTTCCTCTGACAAACAAAGTAGCCCATTCTTTGTTGATTTATCCCATGTCTTAAGACATGGACAGAATAAAAACAGATTCCTGGCAAAAGTACACTTATGGCCCCTGGAGGATCTTTACTCTCAAACCTCCATCTACATTACTCCCAGTGCTCTTATCATCTAAGCACCACCAGAACGGCCCATCTCCCTCTGCTCACAGCATTCACTGGCTTTTCCAAACCAAAGGCCCAAGCTCTTCCACACTCCTCCTACAAAACAGTTCCAAAGGCCCGAGAGCCACGCGGTGAGGCTCATACAGTAACGGCCTCACTTCCAGTACCAGCTCCCATCTTCGCATCTTCTGTTTCACTGTGATAAAACACCCTGATGAAGACAACGTACGGTGTATTGTGGCTCAGGGTTCGAGGTACAGTCCATCACAGTGCAGAGGTCAATGCAGCAGCGGTTTGAAGCAGCTGGCCACTTCACACCCACATCAAAAAGCAGAAAGCAACTAACAAATGCATGCATGCTACTTAAAGCCCGGCAAATGATGCTGCCCACATAACTAATGTGATTGTTTCCCACAGCAATGAATGTAATTAAGATACCCTTTCATGGGAATTTTCAGAGCCCTTCTCCAGGTAATCCTGTATTGTGCCAAGTTGATGTTAGAATAGCCATCACATCACCCAACAAAACAATCCCCTTCTGTTTGAAGAAGGCCCTTCTGCTTTGACCACACCCCTTGGAGAAAGTGGATTTGAAGGAAGGCCCTGTTCTCCCATGCTGGCACCAGAGGCAAGGGGCTCCATTTGCAGACTTGGCAGAGCTGGGGTGTCTGTCGCAAACCTCCTGGATTTAATTTTAGGCTGGAGACTGTTTGGGTGTTAGATGTTATAGTGACTAACCAACAGCTCTGGGTGTGGTGCAGAAAGAGAAGGGACACAGTTGTGTTCTGGGCACAAACCAAGCTTGTAAGAGCAGGAGAGTTCACCCAGCTTTCAGACCTGGAAGGGCCCCAGCATCACAACACAGGAGGGGGGGAGGGGCAGGGGGAGGGGCAGGGGGAACGGGCAGGGAGGAGGGGGCAGGGGGCAGGGGGAGGGGGAGGGGGAATGGGGAGGGGGCAGGGGGCAGGGGGAGGGGGCAGGGGGAGGGGCAGGGGAGGGACAGGGGGAGGGAGCAGGGGGGCAGGGGGAGGGACGGGGGGAGGGGGCAGGGAGCAGGGGGAGGGGGAGGGACAGGGGGGAGGGGGCAGGGAGCAGGGGGGCAGAGGGAAGGGGGGCAGGGGGCAGAGGGGCAGCAGGCAAAGGCCAAATGGGGCCGCTGGCAGGCACATTAAGGAGTTAGACTCTTATACCCAAAGTCAAAACAGGGAGCCCATGGGCCCAATATCAGAAAAGAGAGAGGATCAACAGCTCCAGCAGTTTCTGTGGAAACACAGCCAACACAAGTGTCTCATGCATGGTGGGAGATGGAAGAAGTCAGGCCATTGTGTGAAATGGGGGTTACACGAGGGTTACACTGTAGGTTCTACTGGGCATAGTATCACAAATACACACGCGCACACACGCGCACACACACGCACACACACACTCACACACACGCACACGTCCTGCTGCATATGTAATAAATACCCAGCGGTCTGTGCAGTCACAAGCAGAGGACTGGAGAGTAAATGGTTTGAGAAGTGAGATACTTATCAGAAGAAGCGTAGCCACCATTACAGACTGTGACGGCTAATCCTGTCAGCTTGCTTGGGATCGGTGAAGACACACACCTCTGGTGGTCTGTGAAAGTAACTCCTGGAAGGATCAATGGGGTGGGCTCCCCAGAGTGAGCAGAACCTTCCCTGCAGCCCAGATATGAAAATGCTGCTGTTGCCTACCCTCCTTTATACCCTGCTGGTGAGTACATCTATCCTGTTGCTGCTGTGGCGGCTGTCACTCTTTACTGACATCAGAACCCAGCTTCTTCCGCTTCCCAACAAGAAATGAAAAGACAGCGCCTCTCCAGGAACTCCCCAGGTCGGGACTACTGAGGCATCCCGCCCTGGGGACTGAGCAGACACTGGGACCTCGGTGTCTAGTGCACAGACAGACGATGTTAGACTACCTCTTAGATCCTGCCTTTGTAGATATATTCGTATGCTATCAGTCCTGTTCCTCTAGAGAACCAGCTAATACATGCACATAGAGAATCGCTAAATACAGTATGGAATTCTTGACTGCATTCTAAAATAGAGGAAAAGGACCCTGGTCAAATAAAGCCGGGCACCTGGGTGATAACCTTATCTTGTTGTTGTCCTAGCTTTGGTGAGCGGCTGACACTCCTGAAAATAACCCCTCATCTCCCATGTGAGCGGCTCCAGTTGAACTCCTGGAGCCACCGACACAAACAGAAACAGACCTGAGGGTAGAAGAATCTGGTTGAAGAGAGGAGGGAGATGGGCAGGAGGGAGGGGCAGGAAGGGCAACAGGGTGAATATGACCAGATAAATTACATACATATTGAGAGTGTCATTATGAAACCCATCACTATGTGTAAATAATGATGCTAGTAGAATATTTTTTTTATTTAAAATGACAAGACCACCTGATGAAGTGAAAAGAGGGCAGATTAGCTTTTGTAGTTACCTAGCACCCAAATAAACTGAATCTTAACTCGCAATAAATGCTTTCTTTTAAATCAAGGTCTTCAGTTTTTTGGTTTTTTTTTTTTGTTTGTTTGTTTGTTTGTTTTGTTTTGCTTTTTTGGTTTTTTGGTTTTTTTGTTTTGTTTTGTTTTTTGTTTTTGTTTTATTTTTTATTTGCACTGTTTGGAAGAAATCATTAGAGGGCTGCATGAACCTGGGGCTAACGGCCTTTCAGTGTCGTAGCCCAGTGACATTCCTGGCCTTGGAGTCCGGCTCTCCTCTTCTTCAGTCTAGATGCTTCACGCTCAGTCCATTCTGTGCCAGCAGCAAGGGTTTATTTTTATCCTGTTTATCACATTTGTTTTGTTTCCATCTCAGAGGACTCAAATGCAGTCCTGAAAAAAGCCTAGAGTTCAGGGACACACCCTAAAACTCAGATTGCTATTTGGGGTGCTGCTCCTGCCCGTGGTGTTTATAAAATGCTTTGTTTCTCTCTTAAAATTTCTGGTTGAGAGCCATAAGATGTCTCATTGATGAAGGCTTCTACTGCTAAGCCTGAAGACCTGAGTTCAATCCCCAACACCTACATGTTAGAAGGAGAGAAGTGACTCCTGCAAATTGTCCTCCAAGAATTCCATAGAAGACACACACAGAGGGACAGGGAGAGAGAAAGACAGACAGACAGGCAGGTAGGCAGGCAGGCAGGCAGACGAACACACACACTAAATAAATGTAATTTTTAAAGACCTAAAGGCTCGTGGTTGAAGGCTGGGTGTGCTGACACACAGCTGTAATCCTAGCATTTGGGAGGCCTGGGCAGATTTGTTCACAGCATGTCTAGGCTACACCATGAGTTTGGGGCCATTCTGAGCTACATGAGACTTGGCCTCTGACAAACAATAAATACATTCTCAAAATCCTGGATGAGGTCTACAAGAGCTAGTTCCAGGACAGCTCCCAAAGTCACAGAGAAACCCCGTCTCC